TCTTCCAAAAAAAGTCAGTAAATAAGTGGCGTTCATCTATATGAATTACTATAGCCAACTACGAATTAATTCGGTAAGTAACGTTAATTACTCGACGAGTCAAAATTTACAATGACTTATTTAATCAAACTCGAGTTAACTTGATTCAATAATTAATTTAATCGGCTAAATTAAGTGTTTACAATAAAAATTTCTAATCATATATACGATTCGTTATTCGTAATCTAATCTTTTCTCTCACGTGACAGATGATATAAAGTTGGTAATTCTATCTATGTTAATAAAATACATATATTGACGAGTTAATCATCGAAGTTTAAGTTAATCATATGTTTTGTCTCATAAAAATAAAATATTGAAAATAAGATCTTCTCTCTAAATTTTCTGGAGTGAATATCACTCCAAAAGAGTGAAAATACTGCCATTCAAGTGGCCGAATGGCAATATTTTCAATTTTGTGGAGTGAGATTCACTCCAAAAAATTTAAAGAGTTCTATTATAACAAAGCAGAAAGTTGAAATATCTGCTTTAACATTATGTCTATCTTCTTGAAATATTCACTTCTTTGATCTTTTTCAAGATTTCTTTTGTTTTTAGCAATAGTTTTAACCGATTTTTAAAAATCTTTTGACCTGGTTGTGAAATACTATTATACAAAGAATGCTGAAAAAATAAAAAGAGAATAAAAGAAGATATTTCGTTTAATACTCGTGAAGAAATATGTCATCAATCATTTTGGGGGTGCATGAAAAATAAAGTTAGTAGAATGAATAATAAAAACGTGCAGCGTTTGCAGCTCGGAGCAACTGCAACTTGATGTGCCAAATATACAAATTACATAATAGATACGAAAATTATTAAAATATTCTTGAAAAAGAAACCTTATGGAAACAAGCAAGAAATAAAAAAAAAATTTGTATCTAAAACACGTTGAAAAGCGAATGCAAACAAGACTTAGAAATGCAAACAGAAAAAGTAAGGGAGATATATTAATCGTGAAATTATCTAACAGATAAATATTACGATTTAGCAATAAATAAAAATTCAAGTTTAATGGAAAAAAAGAACAATTTTATTTACTTATTTTCATAATTGCTATTGCCACATGTGCTGCACGAATTAAGATTCGATGCACGTGAATTGTTCGTCAAGGACGAATTCATGATGTACATGGTAACACACGGAAGTACTCTTGATCAATTCAATTAGTCTTCATCTCATAACACGAACACGGAAGTTCAAGAAGTAATCTTGTTCCATTTATAAAGAGCTATTAAAACAAGATTTATTGGAGCGATAGGTCCACATATATATTGTATATGTATGAAATAAAAATTTCAACAGCTGTGTATATAGTTATAAATTATTTCAAAACGTTTATTTTACGAGATAAAAAGTTATTGATATGGCAGTGTATTTACTGCTTGTATTTTCAATGGATCAATTTGGAAGATAATAGAAGTGACAGGCAATTAGGTCACAAAGTAATAAATAATGAGCTCATCGGGGATGCTAAACGAAAGTGAGCGTTTAACGCAAAACAAGCAGAAGCTAGCTGCCAAAACTGATAGAACAAAAAGATTAACTCAAAAAGAATATATCGAAGAAAACTGAAAAATTAATTTATGATAAAGCAGACTAACAATAATTATATATTAAAAATATGCTTAATTTGCAATTTTTTGACGCGTTCTTTCAAAAACCATACTTTTTCGTTTATCGAAGTGATAATTCATTAATCAATCAAAGCAATTGGGTTCAAGTTTTGCATACTTATAAAAAAAAGTTATCATTATGCGAAGTAGATTTTATTTTATGCAATAAGGTTTTTTAAAATTAAATATTGAAGATTTTTCATTCTTTGCTTTGATTTAAAATATTTGATACTTTGAAAATATGCGAATTTGCGGATTTGCATTACACTAGATTAATCAGCTAAAAGCTGCTATACGTGAAGTTATCAAAGTTAAACGTAAAAACATATAAATATTTTAAACGCTTAAATACCCAATAATCATTGTCACGTTATTTATTATTAACAAAATATGCATGTGTTGTTTCATTGTCCAAATTTATTATATACCACTGCATTTAGATACTTCATATGTAGCAGCTTTTAATGTGCATTAAAGTCCAGTACGTGTAGTGCAAGTAATCAAATATATTTATTATTAGTGATCTATTCCGTAGAAAAACTATTAAAAATTTATATATACATATTTGTTTCAAATGACTGTAAGAAGCATTATTTGCATCAGCAAAGCCAGTTTTTTGCCATGCATTAATATTGTATAAAAATAAATTTATAGATTTATAAAAACTCAAATATATTCCCAAAATATTGACCAATATGCGTGCAAAAATTTGAATTTGATAAGCTTATTAGATCTTGCAAATTTATTTTCAAGCATGTAGATTTATCCTTATATTCCGACTCCTTTAAAAACGAAATTTAATGCGTCCAAATTGCATCTTCAGCTGATTTTAGTCATAATTGTAAGAACTTTAGTTCTTCGAATAATCTTTTCGGAACATATTTTCTTTAATATTTTGATGTTTTGATAATTTCTCTTTAAGAATATCGAAATTCCGATTCTTACTGTTTTCTTATCGGGATGTAATTCCCCGATAACTTCGACAATTTTGTGAGGATCTGGAAAGACATGCATTATTACTGTTATTGAGTTATAATATTTGATAACTCAATCACTCAACTCTTGTTCACATACCAGATGAACATACGATAAGAAGTTAATCGATCTTGTACATCAATTTTTTCTAGATTCTTCGTGTCTAGCCACACATAAAAAATATTTTATGCAATTATTTTGTTAAGTAATTACTTTTCTATTATTTTTTTTACAAGAATTTTTATAAATAAGCTATACAATTTTTCTTATCAATTAATAGATATATTATCAATTAATAGAAAAATTTTATATGTGCTTGTCATGTCTTATGCGATATTGTATAAATGATAAATGTAATATTTTGATGTTGAAAAAAAAATATTAGTTTTCTATGCACTAAATGCCCAGAGAACATCATATAGAAACTATATATGATGAAAGTTTTGAAGTCTTTTTGCAAATTCGTCATATTTAATGTTTAATGATTATATGTAAATATCATCCTCACGACGTTTGATACATTGTACGGTCCTCTGAGAGAGCAATATAAATATACAATATAAAATTACAATATAAATATAATTGCAAATTATCAACAAAATTGGGACACAGCAAATTTAATGAAATAATAAATCTGGCGGGGTACTCAACTCTTTCTAATTATTATTTTATCATGTATTTTAAGATGTGGGACTCACAATATTTAAAAAACTAAATTCGTGTTTGATACGTTTAACTTATTTTCACTTATCGTTAGACGACAGAATTTTATAGCACGATTCAAATATGCGTACGTAGTATATGCAGGAGGATGAGACAATAATGGATTTTATAAAAAATCCTCTGTATTCTTGTGTAGGTATTATATTTCGAATATAGCTTTTGCACAGCCTTTGTATCCTCTCTAGTCAGTTATTCTCATACACGAAGATTCATGTCGATATTAACAATAAAGCATCACAATATCTTCTTAAGGATATTTCACTGGTATTCTCGAATAATCGCAAACGCCCACGTTGCGATCTGATCGCAGTGCGTGTCGCGATGCTCTTATAAGATATAAAGTCCACATAATTTCCTAACTATTATGTCCGACATCTCGTTATCTCCAAATATTTGGCTCTGTGTTTCACACTACTCGTGTTTTCTCGGTCAGATTTGTTGTCAAAGATTAAATTCGATGGATATATATCTTTATAGAAGATGCGGCAGAAGTTTCTTTTTTCAACCCCAAGATCTCCCGGATTTCAGTCAGAGAAATAAAAAAAAGTTAGGAGAAGAATGTGCTTCCGTATTCCAATAATAAGAACTACAGAAAAACGCGGGATAAGCAATCGTATCTTTTGATAATACCTACATACGCGTATCTGCTGATAGCGGAAAGACGGATGGAGAACATTCTATGTTCGTATAATGCAAGAATATGTTAATGCCTGAACTACGATCACTATTACTTTGCCTATTTATTGAAATAAGTCGCAAACTCAAAAATCTACGTATATCATATTCTACAAAATTATACTTTGTCTTGCACACTGATACCCCATATAAATATATATATATACATATATATATATATATATGTGTGTGTGTGTGTGTGTAGTGTGTGTGTGTGTGTGTGTGTGTGTGTGTGTGTGTAGTGTGTGTGTGCGTGTGTGTGTATATATACATAGTTCAAAATTATACAAAATTCTCATCCAGTCGTACTAATTTTTCGAGTTTCTACGTTTGTACCCAGTTCGCCATTCAATCATCTCCCTTAATTTCTCACTTTTTCTCTCGTTTCCTTCTTGTAGAAACGTTAGTGATCCGAACGAATTGTGTACAAATATCCGTTATATCTATATATATTTCATTTTCTTTCCTTGTATATTTAATGTTAATTTAATATTGCCTTACTATTTCCACGCGCATTAATAAATTCCATTCTGTATACATAGCTCATATAAAATTTTGAGATAAACGTCACGTGTACACATTGAAATTAAAATGAAAACTTCGAAACACTAAAATCAAAGTAATGTCTTGAAATATATATTATTTTCCGTGACAATTTCTTCTGTATAATCCACTATATTTATTGACAATTCATAAGCAATTATATGACGTTGCATTTTTTAATGACTATCATTAATAAAATGCACATTTGAAAAACATAATTCGGTATTTCACTTCTTTACTAGTATCTTACTTTCATGTGGTTATATTAACATTGTAACACTGTTTAATATCAAATATGTCAAATATCCGAAGATGTTGTCTCTTTAATAACGCTTAAAGAGTATTGTGTACATCATGAAACTTTAGTTGCATATCTTACACATTCTGACGAATATGTGAGAGTGACATAGTAAATAATGCATATGTGTATACATTAATATTCACGCTGTTTACAAAGCATGAATGTTTTATAATATCACAATCATTTGGGCGTTTTTATGGTGACATGATTTAAACTATTAGACATAAATCCAAATAGCAATATTTCGTTTATTTGCATTTGAAGTTTTCGTTATATTTGAAGAGTATTCTTAAAATTTTTTTCAGTGAAATACCAAATCACAAAACAATTAACACACCTAGAAAAAGCATCAATACACATTTTCGAATAGATAATTTAGATAAATATAAAAATGAGTACAAAACGTGAATAAAAAGAGTTCAACGAGATCAATAGTCAAGATATAATAATATTTCTTTTCCTTTCTTTTTACAGTAGTTAAGATCATTTTAAGATCACACGCTATATTTGTTTTCGGTATGAATATAATAATAATGATAATAATATTTACACATTCTGATATAGTGATTTTTATATTCTAAATGCAAATGGTATCGTACCAAATGTAGGCTGTGCAGAGGTTGTTGGCTCTTCACTCGCTCTTTTAAAATAAATTCCACAAAATTTGGATGTCTACAAAAAACTGTTATACATTCAATCAATGATTATTTTTTTGCGTTTCTAAACATGGGTACATAGCACTTTGTACGAGCTATTTTTAATAGACGGTGTAATACGACAATCCTCCCATGTAACAATTTCTTTTTTTACACATTCACACAACGTAAGTACTCCAATCAAACAACATTTTACAATTTTTTATTTCATAAATTAATTAATATAAAAAAATCATTAATTCCTTTTACTATAATACATCTAATGTCTTATTAAGTGTAATATCCAGCCTCCCTAAAAACGTTTCACTACATTACGTATTGTAAGTCTTTCTTTTTTTTTCTTTTTTACCGTAGGAAAATGGTCTTCTGTTCATGTCATAGAGCGTAGAAGAATTCCAAATATGGCCAAAGCAGACGACATTAAAAATCGTTTACATCCATGGGATGTATTTATGCGGTTTTAAACATACTGTTCGTTCCTAAACGCGTTGCGTCAAGCGCATATATAAATTACAATTTATAGTTTCACGCAAGTCAGTCCGATTTACTTTCCTATTTCTTGAAGAATTTTTTTTGCTGTCTCAGCAAACAATAAATCAAAGTCATTGATCAACCAAGTTTTTTCCCTCAGACGTTTCTGTGTATAGTTGTTGTTCACGCTGGACATTCATCATGGGATATTTCATTGTTTGCGTACGTTGTCGTGAACACATTGAATTCACTCACTAACCACTTGTCTGAAATACAAAATCGATTGCGATTAAATTCTGCGCCATTTATTTTATATATATATATACAGGGTATTCCGAAATTCGCAAATCAAAATATCATAGCAAAAAAGTCTTTGAAATTAAGTAAAAAAGTTATTTGTAAATTTTTATTTTAAGTAGTAGTTTTTAGATATAAGAGTTTAAATTTGGCCAATTATTGTAGATTACGCGCGTGAAGTGCGCGACCACTAACACTATCGACGCGCTCACGGACATGTTTCTGTTTAATCTATAATTGGCCAAGTTTGAACTCTTATATCTCAAAAACTACTGCTTAAAATAAAAATTCACAAATAACTTTTTTACTTAATTTTTCTAAATCTTTCTTGCTATGATATATTGATTCGCGAATTTCGGGACACCCTGTATATATATGTATTTTTTTTTAAATTAAATAAATTGTTTCTAAGGCTTACCTGCAAGCGGTAATCGGATAATTTCATAAAATATACTTACAATTATATCACAATAAAGAAATCTCCGTATTGATGCGTCACTCAAATGCTACAAATAAGAAAAAATATTTTGTGTATTTAATAATTATAACGTATAAATTTTAAAAAATTCTAATTTCGAAAAATATCTAGTATACTTACGGGAAGGAGATCTAGTATCGGCTTGGTTTGGCGCTCCATCCATCGGCAGACGTCCACTGCATACGCTTCCGCTTGACGGGTTGTAATTAAGAAAATCCCAAATTAATATCGTATCATCATGAGATGATGAAACTATTTGGAACTCGTCAAACTGAAGGCGAAACACACGCCCGGTGTGCTCCTACAATGAGAAGTATAAATAAAGTATGGCAATGAATGAAAATTGTCACTCAGCGCTTGATCAAATCGCTGACTAAGTATAACAAAAAAAAAATATGCGCGAAAATATCTTACCACTAAAGTACGCAAGCATAATGTACTGGCAACGGCACGAGGATCGAGAGCAGCTACGAGATCCCAAACTTTGATTTTTCTGTAAAACACAATAATACATGTAAGTTCAATTGTTCATGATTGTTGTAAAATTATAATACGTTCTTATAGTAAAATTTGCAATCAACTTTAAATTAATCACGATGAAATTCGATATAAATATAATGTAAAATTAATTTTGCTTTTTTTATACATTAGAAATAATATACTATAAAATAAATTGTATTGTTTTTTTCTAAGAGTAAAAAGTTACATAATACCAATAAACATGACGCATATAAATACAAATTTGTTTTCGCTGAAAGCGAAATGATTTCACGTTGCAAACGCAGAATTAAAGACGTTCGGATTTCCACGTACATACCCGTCATAAGCACCGCTGACGATGTGCTTACTGTCGAATCGAATACATCTTACTAATTCTTCGTGTCCCTCTAGAACACGTAAGCAAGCACCGCACTCGATGTCCCACAGTCGTATGGTATTATCACTACTACCACTAACTACTAAGCGATCCCTATATTGCAAACACGCTATTCCGCGTTTATGTCCGTTCAACGTTCGCACAAATTCGCAGTTGGAGGTGTTCCATACTTTGATAGTCCTATCACCACTGGCGGAAACAATATACTTCTCGTCGAAATCAACCACGTTCACTGCTGCTCGGTGCCCCACTAATACACGTCTCAACGCAATCTCTGTCTGCGATGTCATATCCCAGACTGCTATTGAACGGTCCTGCGAATGGATAAATAGTATTGTCAGTAACAAAATCCAATCGAATGAAAATAATAAAAATGTGTAAAAATTTATTAGCATCCATTGACTGACCTTTGAGCAGGTCACCATCATGCCGTTGTTAAATCTGAGATGCAGTACCGCCTCGCAATGATGAATTAATGTGTTGACCATCTCGCCCGTAGTGGCGTCCCAGACTCTCACAGTGCTGTCCGAGGAACCGGATATTATAGCCTTATCATCATATTGCAAACAAAGCACTGAACCCGTGTGGCCCGTCAACACCTTGATACACTGCAGAGTATTTCTGTCCCAGATCTTAATCGTGTTGTCTCGGAGCCCGGAAACTATCTTCTGATCGTCATACTGCAGACAGTAAACGCCTTTAGAGTTCTCGCTGCGACAGTTGATTCTTTGGAGATTAAATCGGCCCATTCTCCAGTTGTTCTCTATGCTCTCGATGTCTTTGACGATTTTGGGATAAAGAGATCTGTAGAAGTTGTGATTGGGATGGGCCTCCCCAGGTTTCGGTTTAAAGAGATACTGTATCCTGAAAGCAAATATTTCACAAATTGAACAAGAAAATGTAAAGAAATATGTTTTCTTACGTACATTCTATATATGTGTTTACAATATATTCGTTAAATGCTCTATACATATCATAGGCTTGTTCTTTATCGCCGAACTGGCTGTACTAGTTCTTATCTTTCTTCTTCCAATGTAGAAAAAGAAAGATAAACTGTGTGAACTAGAGCAGCCAGTTCGGCTATAAAGAATAGGCCTCATATTTGTTTGTTTGTCGGAAGTTTTATATAGTTTATATAAATCGTAATCAAGTTGTCACTTACCATCCTCTCCTTTCAGCCAAACCTCTCCAGACCGAATCCGTTCGAACCTTGCGCTCAATCAGCTTCTTCCAAAGCATTCCTTCGCTAATAACCCTGTGCCATTCCTTGCACACTAGCTCTGCGGAAACAAGCGACTTTGCGTCAAGGTATGAAAGAATACTTTCCGCCACGTGGTCCAATCCTTTCTCTGTAAACCATTCGTAATATTATTAAAGGCGCAAATTAGAAATATCGTTTAAAGCGCGTGTAAGGAGTGCAAAAAGATGAGATCGAGCGTGAAGCAAATATACGCGATTACTCACTGGGCAAAAGCGAAATAAAGTCTCTCTGCAGCATCGGTTTGAGATACGCGTTGATGTGTCCGTGCTGATAATGACACATTCGTGCTAACAGCTGTTCGACAAACTGCACTTGCTCCGATTCGCTCCATCTTTCGAACAGTTTCATACAGATTTCTTTCTCCTGCACGTATTGCGTCGACGCTCCCGTAGACGGTTCCTTCTTACAGCTGGGATCGTAGAGTATCGTCATCGGGTACTGCAACAGAAGAGGATTAACGATTACATATTTAAATATTGAAACGTGCATCATTTTGCGAAAGATCGGAATGTAATCTACAGGATGGAACTCTTACAAGCGATTATTCTCTCACAAGACTTTGTCATTAATAAATTAAAATTAATTGAGAACAAATTTGCCCGCTGACATTTAATTATTATACACGTGATCTCTCTCGTGGAATATATACTGTCTAAATACTTTTATTAACATCTTTTGTACATGCGCACGTAATGACGTTTAACTCTTATTGTATCAGCGTGTGGCTACGTAATCGGAGCGCAAATAAACGCGACTAAGAATATCACACCGTGCACAATGTGTATTATCGTATCGATGCACACACATCGTTGTTTCCCCGATTAATCACATAGACGTAGCGTACACATCGGAATCGGCAAGTTGTAACGAGGCGCTGTTGTAACACTCGAATACACTTTGAAAAAACCTAATATACTCGAGTAAATTTCATATTCCAAAATCCATAAATAAAACGTGCATTGTCGCTACAGTTAATCTCACATCATAATTATTTTCGTTGCCGAAATATAAACGTAAAACAGCTTAAAACTGAGTGCAAGGAAAAACACGTTATAATAATCGTAGACCATTTTCTAAAATTATCTAAAACAAAAGACTCATTTCGTTAACTTTAGAAAGATAAGTACGTATTTTATAGAAATTCAACAAAGATAAACATACATATTTCGACTTTTAAACATACATATTTCGAATATTAAAATTAAAATTGCACTTTTTAAATCATTTTCGTAAATACATTTTATGTTTTATTGTTTATTTATTTTGACAAATTATATCTCTACAAATAAAATTAAATATTAATTCAATATTATGCAAATGTATGTATAAGAAAATTAATTTTTTAAGTATATCTTCAAAAATCAAAAACAGAAAAATTTTCAACGACGCAACATAGCTTGATAATATAATTAATGATAACATAAATCATACGGTAAGACTATAGATTTGAGTGGCATAAATAATAACACTATAAAAAATGAATATTAATTCTAATAAAGAATAAAATTGTCATGAAGATTATAATAAATATATGTCGTGAGATTTAAAGAGTTGCAAATGCTTTGTGTAAATGTTTCGTAATAGTCAACGGCACGACTACAATTTTCGCAATTTTTAACGTTAACAATTGAGAACAAACGCAGGAAAGCGCTAATCTTATCGCGATATTAAGAAACTTAAAATGTCGAAAGACACGATGTAAAACAGCGGGATTTTTAACTTGTGCTCATATCTAATTGTAAATTGTGAAGAACGTAAAATTGCGAAACAACGCTGAAAACACATTGTTATCAATAATAGAAATGCATACTAAACAAAACAAAAAAATACAAAAATTTTTTAGTACATTCACAGAGTGTTCCCCTCGAGAAAGAAGAAATAGAGATAATCGATTTCCTGCCAGAGCGCAAATGTACTTTCGTTAATCTCCCTTATCTCTCGAAATAATGATATGAGATAAGTCGTAAAAATCAGAATACGCCGATTATATTCCGCAAAAATCAGCTTATCTAGATTTTTCCCAGATCGGTTTTCGGAATTAGAAATGTCATATCGAAAAACATTACTCAACAAATCGTTGATATAACGAAACATACATGTCATCGATAGAAAGAGACCGAAGTGAACTATACGTTTTAAATTCACATGAAAGTTGCACGTCGCACTTTATAGAATGACCTATTACCTAAATAGTAAATAAAGCCCACTTTAGACGATCTATAAATTCACGTCAGATTTCAGAGCAGAACAAATGGGTTACGTGTCGCGAATTTTGATGAATGCATTTTCGATTCTTCAAACGTTGTTCGTATTACACACGCGCACGCGATTATAATTGGATTATCCTCGATTTTAGCACAAATTACAGATCATCTAAAGTGGACTTCATTATTGATGATTGAAGTAGTGCTTTTCGTATTATGTACACAAAATCATATTACATATTCACAAAATCTGTATGTATATATCTACGCACGAGATTATAAATGGATTATTATCCTCAATTCTAGCGCAAATTACATGACATTCAAAGTGGACTTTATTATTAAAATGCTTTTCATATTACGTATAATACAAAATCATGTCTATTATTCACAAAATTTGTCATCCAGAATCCAGGATGTTCTATTTAAAGGTTTTTATGTGTCGCGTAAAAAAATATGAGAAATATATGAAGAACAGAAATGCATCTCGCGCATAAAACGTGCATTATTCACAATTATACAGAAATACGAAGATGCAATAGAACATAAAATAAAATTACAATTCTATTCTGAAACCCTGACCGGCGGGATTATAGATCGTCTGAGGTGAGCCTGAGCGTACATTTGCAAAACTAGAATCGCGGACGCATCTTGAGGTAGAGCGAAGAAGTACCGGGTTCTTGACCTCTCTCGCTCCATTCTCTCTCGCTCGCGTATAACGTCGTATACTATATACGAAGGCTCTTATAAATTAAATCGTTTACGCGCGTCCCGGTTTTGTGCCGAGTATCTCGTCTTTCTCGTTAATACCGTAATCACCGGTTAAATCATATTTCAGATGTACGCGAATAAACGGATATTTCCCGAGCGATTTTAATTATTTCGGGACGAAAACGAGATTTAGAATTCTCTCGGCATAAATACGCCAATCAAGATTAAGCGCAGAGCTAACTCGATCAAGATCCGTAAATGTAAATACAATTGCGCGAAGAAATAACTAACGCTAACGCTAACTGACAAACGACCTAAATTTACGCGATCGCCATTAAATTTGTCGACGTGGCGATTCATGCGTGTATGACTAATCAAGTTTTCGACGGAAATTTTCCGAGACACGCGCGACATATGAATGCGCGTAAAGCGTATTTTTCACGAAAGAAAGTAGTCGCACGCGTTTGCACTTTCACTGTTTATGTCGTCCTTATCGTCCGTATTTGTCGTAGACGTCCGATAGTCCGATAATATGAAGCGCGATATCGTTGTGGGGGATATCGTCAAGAGTATCCTTCGATATATGCCGCTAGAAATAGAACTTATTGATCAAGCCTGATCTTCGCATATCCTTTACTAAGATCTTTAGTGTTTCTATAATCATATTTTTACGTGCTTAAAAATTTCTATTATTTATAAAGTGAGTCATAAAAACAGAGAAAAAGAAAGAGAAGAAAGGAACAAATTAACAAGCTAGATGTATAATCTATTTTATACATTACGCTAATAATATATAAAAAATAGATTATATTATTTTACATACATTACGTTAATTATATTGTAACAAAATAAAATACTATAAATAAATTTGAGAGCGTCTTCTATGGTCACGACTAGATCTTGGCGCCTAATAAATTCTATATGAATTTTTTAAATCCATTTTTCAGCCATTTAAACTGCACGCCGAATCAGTGTCGGACTTGCAAGGCAATCATTAACGTTGGAAAAGTAAGATCACAATTGATTTCCTTAATAATTTGATGTGACTGAGCGTCTTAAAATACTGCGAAGAACTTATTGCAAAAAATATTATCTCAACCAGAGCTATTATAGCGATTTTGAGGGGAGGATACATCGATTACACATTTCGAGTGTTGTGTGTTCGGCTGGTCGAACAATGTAATCCCTCGCCACGTGTTCGTCTGAAGTGTCTGAACTCGATATGCCGCACAGGTGCATATTGGGTGTACACAAAGTGGCTCTCACAAATTAGTTGGAGCCAATTGGTGTAATTGCACTGCAGCTCTACACCGTGCACTGCTGTGCACTGGTAGCACACTAACGCAGACTGGCGCAGGCTAGCCGAAATCGCTTAAATATTACGAAGAACTTATTACGAAAAATATTATCTCAGTCAGAATTTGAACACGGGACCTTCCGGGACGGGCATCTTAACCAATTCGACCACCGAGATATGTGATTAAAATACTTCGAATAACTTATGCGAAAAATATTTTCTCAGCCAAGGTTTAAATTCCCGACTTACCGGGGCGGGCGTCTTAATCAATTCGGCCATCGACGCATATGATTAAAACACTGCGAAGAATTTATTGCGAAAAAGATTATCTCAGCCAGGGTGTGAATCTGGGACCTCCGGATTTTCCAGGACGGGCGTCTTAACCAATTCCGACCACCAAGACATATGATAATATTTATCGCAATAATCGGTATGTGTGAGAACACATGCTAGCAGCACGTATAATTAAACAATATTAATTAGAACTAGACCACGTAAGTGATCTCAAGTTCTTCGCAGTATTTTAAGATGCTTATACAATTAGTCGAATTAGCATCGAATTACATATTAAGGAAGATTTGTGATCTCACTTTTCCAACTTCAGCTAATGATTGCGTTGCAATTCCGACATTGATTCAGTTTAAATGGCTGCAGAATAATGGATTAAAAAAAATTCATATAGAATTTATTAGGCACCAAGATCCAACCGTAACTGAAGAAGACGCTCTAAAATTTATTTGTGCTATTCGCTTATGCGGGCTAATTTAAATTAATATTATATCGTAAAATAAATATTATATCGCACCTATATTTAATATAAATTATATTGTCAGAAAAACTTGAGTGTTTTCATGTACATACAAAATTTTTCCATTAATATAATTTTATGTAATGTTTTATACATTATATGCAATGTATATATATTCATACGCACAATATAAATTATATATATGTATATTGGAAATCACATATATGTATGCATATACATATATATGATATATGCAAGAACAGAAATAGAAAAATTTGCCTACAAGTGATTTCCAATTTCCTGTCAAAATTTCATCGGAAGTTGTTTATTACGTTACCGGAGTTCGATTAGATCAGATTAGACCAGATTAGATCCGATTAAATCAGATTAGATCAACTAATTCGAACGAATGCTGCGCGAGGCATCGTGTTAATTAATGTAATTTCAACGCGTATTTAACACTATTTCACTCTGGAGATATAATTGTAACCTTTAAAAACTTAAATAACACTAAGAAGAGAATCCGACGAGGAAATATATTCGCGTATACCAATTTCAATAAATCACGTGTTCTCCGTTGATATCCCTGAGATACCTCTTAAATTGATTTACTTCTTCTTTTCGAATATATACGTATTTCCTTCGCTTCTAACAATTGAAGGGCTCTTTCCGGGACCTGTCAGACAAAACGTCAAGATTCGTTCCACGTGCAACGAATCTTAACGACCGAGCAGCGAAAATTCATCGTGGAATTGAAAGGAACACAAGCCAGGCGAAACCGAGTCGGCCG